GAGAGAGAGATATCGTTAGAAAGCTAAGTGAGAGTAATTGTTAGGATTATATGTGAGAGACGTGGGTGAAAAGTAGATCATTTTAAGTCCACCACTGTGTCCACTCAGTTAGTTAAAAGTCACCGACACTACAATGGGAAGGGCCAAGACTTAATAAATCCTCCTATACTCATTATAAGACACCTTTAAAAAAGTTGTTTTGATTATAAATCACTAAGTAATATATGCTACTCCATTTCTATTTATAAATCACTTGTAAAGAAAAAGATTGCTTCTAAATATAAGTTATTTGTAATAATTAATGGGTTTTTTTTTTAATTTTATAAAGACAAATATGAAAAAGCATTAATTTAATGTATTTTTTGGTTTGCGAGCTTGAGGTTCATGTGACTTATAAATGGAAACAAAGTAATATATAATTACATTTTTCGAAGATTATCCCATTAGTTGGAATTTGTATGTTATTGAATGTACTCAATTTACGGTATTAAATTTGGATATGTTTGAATTTTGTTTTTTGAAACAAAATTAACGATCTAATAAATGAGAAGGGAGTCACTAGCTAGATTCAAGAAACAAGTGTCATCATCCACACAACTCATCCTCTTCCCCTCTTTTATAACATATGTCCCCACGCATGTGACAACTGACAACGTTGCCTAACCCCATGACAAGGAAATGACGAAAAATAAAGCAACAATTATTTAACCCTATGACTATGTTGAATAGTGGAGGGTAAAGCCAATCTATATTTCCGTACCATTTGTAGCAGTGGTAGGGTATCCTGAACCTGAAATTTAACCAGGGAAGATGACAGGTGATGAGGACTCTCTAAAAGGCAGTGTTAAAAAAAAAAAAAAAATCAAGCCAGCTAGTTCAACTAGAAAAAAGAAAAGGACCAAACTGGCCAGTTTAACTAGAAAACAATAAACCGACTAGTGATCTATTTGGTTGGAGTATTGAACCAGCTAGAAATTGAACTGGTAATCAATGAACCGGTTTGAATGATTATGTTGCTATTGGTCCTATTTTTTATCCAATTTTTAATATTTCAGTTACTATAGATTTGAACGACTTTTAATGATGATTAATTATTAATTTTAGTTATTGAGGAATCGTAAAAGTCAAAATTCTTAATGTTGTTTACTTTATTATATTACAATCAAATTATTATTGTATTTCCTTGTATTTTGTTATTAGTGATTATTAATGTTGTTAGATTTTGTTATTTTTAATTAAATTATATTATTTTAATATGATCAATTTAATCCTGATTTGAACCCAGTCTTTCGGTTGGATTTTTTGTTCCTTGCTAAAAATAAATTGCAACAGAGGATGTCATATTTGAAAACAAAATAACGCTAGCTAAATTCGCTTATAGGATTGACGGGAATTTTTGGCTTCTTGATTGACCTCCACATTTTGTTCAGGAGACGGATATTGATAAAGAATAGGGGTTATTGCTTTCTGTTGTACTTCTTTGACTTTTAACGAAGTTTCAGTGTTTAATTGAAAAAACAAAACAAGGTTCAAACCCTAAATGCAACATCTGTAAATGGAAATGAGCTCAAGCCAATCATCATCATTAAGCTCGTTCCTTTGCCTTTCGTGTGTGAAGAAAAAATGAGAGAATGGGAGAAGATAAATAAGAAGGGGTCGAAAACAAATTTATCGATTGAATCCAAAAATCTCATTTTGTGAATGAATTAATGTCTCAAATTGACCAAATATATCATACCTACCTGTTAAGCTAGGTGGCATAGTTATTATATTTAGTGTTAGGCTAAAATACGTAGTCAAAGTTCTCCAAAGTTTGAATCAGTAACTTATTAATTACTTTCATAATCTTTAAATTAAGGAATGTAACGTAATTGTCAAATCCCATGTTAGTTTTCAAATGACATTATATATATAATAAGAAAATATACAGGAATTTTGAAAAGCCACAGGAGTTGAAAGTGAAAACATGAAATATTTGGATCCTTCATTTAGATTTTTGGAGGTTGGAAAGGTCATACACAACTGACTCAAAGTTGACAAAATTTTTGTGTGTATTTTAACCTTAGTTTTATTAGTTTGTTCGGTAAAGGTTGAGGTTAGTAAGAGAGTGAGAGTATTGGAATAATATTAGCTTCGGTCCTTAATATAAGATCAAGTTGAGTAATTTGAAAAAAATTTAAAAAATTACTAAATTACTTAATTATAGCATATAGTAATAATCTTTCTAAAATAATTATGTGTGGATCATTAGAGTATATGTTGTAATCATCCTTACCTTACTGTGTCCACTCAGTTAGTTAAAAAATTATCAGTCAAAGCCGGAAGTTTCCAGGAAAGGTCCCCGAGTGCAATTCCAATTGGGAAAGGGAAAGCAGATAGTTAGATTCATGGGTCATTACCCTCAAGGGTCTTGGTCTTCCACTATCAAAAGGTGCCCAGGGTATCAATGAAACCTTTATTCCTCCTTCCTTCCTATATGTAGAGCCGGGAAAACGGGCCGAGCCCGTCGGGCCGGCCCTTTTAGGCCCTAAAATTATGAGGGGCCGGGTTTGATATTTTTCTCCTAAAATGAGAAATAAGCCCTGGAGGGCTGGCTCTGGAGGGTCGAGGGCTTAAAAGGGTCGGCCCTGGAGGGCCGCGGGCCGGCCCTTTTAAGCCCTTTTATAATTTTTTTTATTTTTTAAATTTTTTATATAATATTAATGTTATTAATTTTTTACATTGTTAATAATATTTCAAATATTTAGTTATTATTATCATTTTAAAATTAAATTTAGTTTTAGACAATAATTTATCCAATTAAATTTTTTAAAAATGGGTTAATTTGGACTTTAATAATGATTTGATTTATATTATATGCGTTGATACTTTTAAACTATATATATATATATATTTGATAATAGAATATTTTTATACTTATATAACTTGTGATTCTATAATTTGAATTAGAAATTCATGAGTTTCAACAACAATATTTCTCATATTAAAGTAAAATAATAGTTAGATTGTAAAATTTAAAAATAAAATTCTTATAAAGAAGAAAAACTTGATATTTTTGTTACGAAAGAAAAGCATATTTATGAAGAAAAATAATTAATTATAGTGATAATGAAGTTTCAAAAGATTAATGATAGTGTTTATTTATTACACAATTGCATTATAGATAAAACTTTTAGATGTTGTTATCTTGTTAATGAATGTTTTAGATGTTCTTAGATGTTGATGAATATTTATATATGATAATATTTTATATTTGTGACTTAATTTTATTCATATTTATGTCTTTTATTAATAATTTTATTGGTTTATTTTTATATTTTTATAAAAAAATGATAAATATAAAAAACAGTATTTTTTCTTAAACGGGCTAAAAGCCCGCGGGCCGGCCCTGACCCTGTAGTTTAAGGGCCGGATCTAGCAAATTGGGGTATTTTTAAAATTTCAACCCTGGAGGGCCGGCCCTTTTAAGCCCGCCAGCCCTGAAGGGTCTGCCCTGGAGGGCCGGACCGCCCTAATTCCCGGCTCTACCTATATGCTCCAAAGCTTTCATTCATAAGCTGTCCCCACACGTACGCTGCCCTGAAAACACGGAAAATAAAGTAACAAAAATTTGTTTCTACGTGAAAAAGACGAGTAAATACCGTGCCATTCAAATATACACAACCCATGACCAGAATCCCAAGATAAAACTCCCATCTCTGCTCGTCGCAGACAGCCACCACTGCCGGCAGTCGGAACTCCGATCATGGCCACCGGACTCCACTCCAGTGCCAGCGGCCGGAGAATTTTTCACGAAGGTAAGTCAATATACTGATGTTTAACACTGACATGAAATGACCAGCTAAAAAAAGCAAAAGTTTGTTGTATATGTCTCCTGTTTTCTACTTCTCAATCATTAAAACATAGTCATTTACCTCTTTAAGGGGGGATTTTCTTTTCTGTGGGGGAAGAAAGTTATCATGACCGTTTTGTTGTTCATATGCTGTGAAATTGTTGCCTTTACTGAATGATTTGAAACGCTAGTTGGAGTTTGGCAGATCCTCGTAAGAACCTTTTTCGTTTCTTAATAAATGGCACAAGTAATATTATGAAATGGTTGAAGGAATGCTCATGGGCGTACGTAATTCCGAATGTGTTTGTTGGTATAGTCAAGTCCTATATGGATTAGCAAGTTGAGGTGATTATATACATAGAAAACCACAACATGAAATATTAGGAGAAATCATAACAAAAACATGGTATATTCCGTTTTAATATAGAACAATATCACCGCTCATTTAATTTTGTTATTTTCTAAGTCCTTTATGTAGTCAAATTTTTATATTATCACTCTAATTGTGTTGGCAGGATTTAGATTAGTTGCGCATAATTTTAAATACTTACCCAAACATATGTTAATATCAAATTTTCGTCCGTACATTAGTACATTGATTTTCTTTCTTCTTTTTTGGGGGAGTCAAACCATTAAAAACACTGAGAGAAGAGGAAACAAAGATGCACCACAACGGTAATTTTACTTTGAAATCAATTAGTTAACAAAACATGGAAGAGTTAATTAACATCAAATTAGTAAGACTCTTGAAGAAACTTTTAGGACATTCAGAACCTTAAAATATTTTCTTAATAGTACTCAATATCCCAAGTTTAGGGTGCTCATTGCTAGTGAGAAAATATTTTCAAAGTAAAAGTGCATAAAGAATTACTTTAAAATACCAAATGATATTGAAAAAGCACTTTACGGTTCTTGCATGTACCAAAAATTAGTTTAGGAAGCTGAAGTTACTTAAAAATACTTCAAGGTGTTAAATGCAATTTAATTCTAAATCATATGTATCAAATCCTACCGTTATTTATCAGCCATTGACTTCCTAAAAATTATCGCATGTGATTGATATCCTATGAATTACTTATAAATTACCAAATGAGAGACCAAAATATTTATTAAAAATTGAAGTAAAGATACAGAGATACAACAGTAACTCATAATTGGTCTCCATTTTTCAGTAAAGCATATGCCTGCTTGGCCGAAATAAAGACCTTAAATAATATGTTGAGTAAATAATATCATAAAAAAGTTGAAATTGCAAAAACAAAAACATGACTATTGGAAAAAATGAAATCACAGAAATGAAGCTTGGAACCCACTTTTTGCCATGGTGATATGTCACGAAGAAGGCACTACTGAATGCTATCATCATGCTTGTTATAGATATGAAGAGAGTTACCAATCCAAATATCACCTTTAAGGGAAGAGACTTGTGAAAGTCATATTCTGCATAACGTGAGATAAGGATAGACAAGAAGACTAGTATGGAGGCTGAAGATGAGATCAATGCAATAGCATCTGATATTGCAAATATCATAAATGATGGTTTCCATAAATAATTTGGGATTCCAGAACTATCATTGATGCCACCAGGTATGCTAAATGCAGCTGAAAACACTCCGGTAGCAATAAGAGTTGAAACAACCATACAATAGTTAGATGTTCTCTTCATCCATGACTCGGCATTTTTTCTCAATGATGCGTGCTCCTTGGTGAACAACTCCCGAGGAGTTTCACCATTTGAGTTTTCCATATTTACATATGATGGTAACACTAACTTCCTTACCTCCTATCATGTCAAAAGATTGTTAAAAAAAATTAATTCATAGATATATTCTAGCCATGTGAAGCATGTCATGTTATGTAAGCAAGACGCGTACCTCAAACCATAGTAGTTCAAACTTCATTTGAAAAGCTGCCCCAGACACCAATTCAAGTCGATCAGCTGGTGCTAACTTTGCAGCCAAATGTAATATATTGTTTCCATCATCTTTGTCTACATATGACAATATGATATCCTTATTTGCGCTTATATCACGGATGAGATTGAAGATGTTAGGATGACGACGTGAAACAGCAATGTGAATTATGCTTCGCTTTTGGCCGTCCAACTCCCATACCAAATCAGGGTAGGATCTCAGAAGCTCGGCTAAGAAATCGAAGTTTCCAACTTTTGTAGCATCAAATAATAGTCGTGATGGCTCATTTATGATCCTTCTTATGTCTTGCTCTGAGTTTACAAGCTTGATAATTCCTAGCCAGAGGGAATGAACAAGTTGAAGAGCAACACCGTTCTTCATCCCTAGGATACATGATGATTTGACTAAGTTAATGTTAAGCAATATGTTGGGCCAGTCTGTGATTTTAGGCATAATGTACAAACTAAATGTAATGATTATTAGAAAAACATATTGATACATATAGCAAGTGTAAAGACTAATTTTCTAGTCTTCGTAACAAGTAATTACAGTGGCTAATTATTACCTGAACTTATTAGTTGATTCTGATGTCCTAGACTATGACGACCCGAATCTGTTGTCTTCTGAGCCATGATATGCAAACCCGTGAAACCTCGTTCATTTGTTGCTAATGCAAGTTCTGACTTATCTCCCAACATTTCCAACGCTAAATCTAAGAAATTTCAGAATGTAGTCAAGAAACGCATACATAGATACTAAAAATAGATGCTGTCACACAATGTAATAAGCAATATAAAGCTATATATATACATATATATATATATATATCAAGCTAAGAAACTTTGCAGAACAGGTTTTGTATTATATATTTAGTATGCATCAAATATGAACTTACCATAAATACCAGTGTCGATGCAAGTGAGGAATAACTTATTCCACTCTGCTTCATCGAAGGTTTCGATAGTCTGAGGATATAAATACCATGCCACGTCAGCTCTTCCTTGCTGTGCAGCAAAAAGAAGAGGGGTGAAACCATTTCCACCTCTAATTTTTGGCAAGAAGGGGTTCTTTTCCCACATTAACTTAACAATATCCAAGCTTCCTGCTGCTGCAGCAAAGCAGAAGGCAGTGTTTCCCCTAGAGTCTTGTAAATCCAAGTCATTTTGGTCCATCAAGTTCACAAGCTCCTTCACAAAGTCAAAACGGCCAGCTCCTGCTGCTACATGAAGTGCTGTTGGATACCCTTTTGCTATAGCAGCATTCACTAGCATTCTGTTATGATCTAACAGCATGGGCTTGGCTTTCTCCCAATTGCCTTCTAATGCATATTTGTAAAGAGGTACGCATAAGTTTATGTAGTTCAATCTGGCCTCCCCTGAAACAAAGTTGAAATTTTTCGGTTTTTTGGGTGATCAGCTTTAACTTGAGTGAGGTAGAAGAGTAATTAATCTTGCATAGATTTCTAACCCTCATGGCGTATCTGATCTGTTGGAATAACAAGTTTTTTTATTAAACTAAAAGTTTGGATGATGAGTTAAGTTTTGAGAGTTCACCAAGAACATAACAAGCCTCACTGTTCAAAACGTATTTACGAATTACGTACCACCAAGATCCTAATTTTAGATATAAGACTTGAAACCAAGATGTCATGCGATATGAGCCAACAAGTATTAATAAATATGCCAGTCTGTATTTGATATTGGAACACAGTTTGTTCACAATTCGGGGGAGAAAGTAATTTTCAAGAAGAAAAAAGAAAACACCAACAGTGGGAAAAATAGTAAAGAAATTACTCCTCCGGTCCTTATTATAAGACCCCATTTGACTTTTTATTTGGTCCTAATTATAAGACCCCAATCCATTTTGTCTCTTATATTTATGCATTTTTTTCCAAGATAATCCTTCTAATAATATAGTTTTAGCCAATATACTTAATTAGCAAGGATATTTTAGAAATGACAACACTTATTTATTATAAATAACCAACTTAACTTACTTCCTTAATCTTCTCAAATAAGTCAATTGGGTCTTATAATTAGGACCGGAGGAGTACTTCATTTTGTCCTAATTAAGTCTTGCAATTTTGAAGAAAGAAGCCCATATTCATCAGTGACCAGCCACCTAACTATGTATGGAATTACATGCATTTATACTTTATTAGGTGAGAGGATTCCATCATTTTCCTCACCACAATTGAATCAAAATTTGGAAAAATTAACAGGAACAACAAATAAGTGAACACATCAGTTTTTTTTCTAAAAAATTTACTTGTATCCTCCAAAAGATGAAGGGAAGGCCTCCTAAAATTAGCTGAATCAACCCTCTGTATAAATTGGATGTGATTAGGCCCTTCAGGAGTATCCATTGGATGTTCATTTGGCGCATCCATTTATCTGCAAAACCATCCACATTAACACTCCCCCAGCTTTCTATGCATTTGTATTGATTTCTGCATTTTCTGGTTTAGTTTTTCTACCAACAATTGTGGGTCACGAGGCTGGTACATTCATATCGAATCCAAGAAGAATTGTACTGTTCATTATTTATAAATATTTCGTGATCATAACTTTGCATATACTCTATATATTTTGTACAAAGCTCGAGATAAGTTATACTGTTTTGTTTATGGCTTATCAACTTCTAAATATATGTGACATCGATATATAATAAAAACATAAAGAAACAAAGCACTTTAGTACTCTAGATATTTTACATATTTCTCATGAATGATGATTGTCATGGAAGAGACTATTCTCAAGATTATGATTAACTAAATGCTTGTGTTTCCATTGATATAAAATATTCTTATATTAAAACTTATGATAATTATTATGAGAAATAATGTTATCTTTTAAAATTCTAAATGAGTTAATAAAGTAAACGGGACACAATTGCATTCACAGTTCGTAGACACTATGATACGGATGTTGGGATGAATTATTCAATTATTGATGATGAAAAATTAATTAATTGTGTTGACGTTGAAATTAAGCAATTTCAAGGAAGCAGCTTTGGTCCCACTGATACCTTCCGAACCATTCGTTTTTGTGGTTGAGCATTATTCTATCTTATTGGTGGAGACATCTCATCCTCCAAAATATTAATTTCATCTGCAAATGCTCTTTATCAAATTGTTCCATGAATATATATATATATATATATTTGTTATATCCTAAACATAAGAGTTAAATAATTAATTTTTAATTTTCTTAAAACATCTCCTTTAATCCTTTTTTCCCAACAAAATATCGCCTTTAATCATTTGCATTAGAAACAATCCCTATTGATGAAACTTCCTTTAGAGATGGAATATGGGGAAAAATTACTTCTCATCAAAAAGTGTGATAATAACATATGCATATATCTTAAATAATAAAAAAATTCCTTAAAAATCCCTCCTTTTTAATCATTAATCGGTATTTTTGGGAAAAAAAAATGGTGTTATGAATTAATTCTCAACATATTAATTACAAAAAAAATGAACTTAACCACCTTTTTTACTTTATGAATTAGTTGGAGAGACATTATATTTAGTAAAAGTGGTAGAAGATTATTTCGGTCAGCTATATATATATGGATGATGATAATGAATTATTAATAATTAATTGTTAATTATCACGAAATACGAGTAGTGTTACATTTTTACCAACAATAAATGAAAGCAAGGAATATTGGGTGTTTGTTTGGTGAAATTAAGCAAGTTCAAGGAAGCATGGCCCCACTAATTAATGGCTTCGCCAAACCAAAGATTTCTGTGGTTGAATCTTTATTCTATCTTTATGGCTAAAAAAGTGAGAGGCCTTAATTACCTCCAGAGTTTTCATTTTCAAAAATTTACGAAGGAATATAGTGTAGGAAATTATAGAAACCTAATCGTTAAGACTAAACTACAAAAATAACATTTATTACGTAAAATAAAGTTTTTTTTAATTTTCTTCGGAATTAAAAATCTGTATAATTTGACAAAAATGAACTAAGTCCTCGGTGATTTCAATAATAATCCTCCATACCTGGAATTTCGATTGCAACAGGAAATTTTCCTCTCGTAGCACTTGCCTAGGACCAGTTTGTAGAATCGAGTTAGTTTTCTGGGAAATGATAATGTCAAAATTACAATTCTTGAATGGTATGCACAGAAACTCAAATGAGATTTGAAAGATCTGAGTCATATTTGAACATGACTCCGACATGAAATCATAAAGTTAGCCCCACAAGGAAGAAAAAGTAGAATGAAATGAAAACATGTAAGAGAAAAAAGATGAAGAAGATGAAGTACCTGTAAGTCAATAGAGAAAGAAGACAGTTATTTTACCTTATGGAATGGCTTATATGTTCTTTGCTTTTAGAGTGATATTGCTTGCAGCGTGATGTAAGAGAATATATATCCAGCGATTTGAGAAAATCTACGGGCTTTCTAAACTATTAAGTCAATTCCAATAATTAAATTAAATGGCACATGGAGACCACAAACAATGGTTTCTGTCGTCTTCTTTATATAATGAGCCCCATTCCCTTAGCCTTTTAATTTTTCTTTTAAAAAGAAATAAATATAAAAGTAACCAGACATATTTTAACCTAATTGAATAACTTGAATTGCACTTTGTGAGTGTCGTCTTCTATCCCACTCACATTAATTTCTCTGTATATTTCATATAGCAGAACTTAATTGCATCGAGATGTGAAGGTGATGATGTCGCTAAGTCATGTAAGCTCATCAATTCTACACAGAGATGCGATGAGAATAAGACAGTGAGTTTTTAAATTTCTCTTGAAGTCTTTCACTATTGTTTACAAACAAGTGCATCTGGCCTCATGTTATATAAATAGACAATCCAAACACCTCATAAAATCCAGCAATTGATTAACTATGCCGAAACCATGGTTTTTCATGAAACCACTTTTTCTTTGGATTAGCTTTATCGAATTAATTTTACCGCGTACATATAGGATAGTTATGTAAGATGAAGTTTTTTTTCAACTTACCTGGAAGTGTTTTTGAGAAATTAATCTAAACACCCTAGTATACTTTTTGAGTGGAAAACCATGGTTTTATCAATATATATATACATATTAATTATTAATTAATTATATAAATAATAAATTTGTCCTACATATGTTTATATATATTATTTATATATTTTTTATTAATTTACATATGAAAAAAGTAATTCTGATAAGAACCAGCTAAACATTCTCTTGATTGAGAGAGGGAGGGAGGGAGTTCTCCTAATACTTTGTGACCTCTTTTTTTTTTGTTGATTCATTATTACATATTTTTTTCTTAAAATGCATTTAGGGGAAAGCACTATATATGGTTGAAGGGCGTGGTGCCTTGTTTGAGATTCATAATCCAAGCCTTTTCTTTAAGTTTGTGTAAACTATGGTGGTTTAGACGCGATGTGGTGAACCTTTATAGTTTTGGAGTTGTGCTTCTTGGCCCCTAGGTTCTAGAAGTGTTAACACAATGATGCGGACAGATATATAGCTACACAGATATGGCTGCAATATGATGAGTAGATTTTATATATTTAAATTGATATAATTTTGATATTGTAGTTATTATTGTTATATCACTATTTTTATATGGATTTTTATATCCAAATCTATTCCCTTATCACAAGTTACGCCAAATAATATTAATTAAAGGGTCAAATGTGTCCAAGTTTAACTGTGACACTAAGTTCTTAAATTGCCAATTTGATTGAATATTAATTTCTTAAGTGCTTTTACCTCATTAAGATACATGATATTACATTGTTTGTTTAATAACATTTATACATATATACATCTATTGATATTTTCGAATCTCCAAGTACGAGTCTTCATTACTGTTCTATTTAATTACCTTTTATATTTTCCCTCGTTTTAATTGTTTTTTAATGGAAGCATTAGCAACACGACAGGAAGGATTAAAGGGCTCGCAGAGAGTTAAAAGATCAAATTATTGTGACTGCCTTATGAAAAAGTAATAAGAGTGAAAAATAAAAAGGTCATCTTATTCAAAACCCCAATTATAAAATCCCTTCTCTCCCACTTCACATCTCGGAACGCAATATTCTTAGAGAGAGAGATATTGTTAGACAGCCAAGTGAGAGTAATTGTTAGGATTATATGTGAGAGACGCGGGTGAAAAGTAGATCATTTTAAGTCCACCACTGTGTCCACTCAGTTAGTTAAAAGTCACCGACACTGCAATGGGAAGGGCCAAGACTTAATAAATCCTCCTATACTCATTATAAGACACCTTTAAAAAAGTTGTCTTTATTATAAA